TTAAGCCTTCCTTGTCACCTTCAGAGGACACCTTCAAAGTCTTAGTTTTGTATCATTTAATTTCCTTCTCTTCTTCTCTTTTCTGGCTGTCACCGTCTCACACCGTCTGTCTTCCTTGCCGCCCTCCCCCTGCCTAGAGCACTTGCCTTGAGAACTCTCACTCACTTTGTGTCCCCGCGGGAGGAGAAGAGCCACTCACGTGTATGGTGCGTGTACACTTGAAGACCCTTTGTTCATGGCTGTTGACTTCCCACGTCACCATGCTGGCGTTTTCTTCATCATCCGAGGGACTTTGGTCAGAAATACGAAGTTTGTTTTCATACCTCTTTATGGAATCCTAGCTGAGGGCACCCTGCATTTTGAGATTCAAATAATATTGCCCTTTATCACCCCTAATCCTACCTACTCCAGTAGGGAACTCCGTGTCACTCACAGCCTCTGGGGATTCTAAGGAGCCATGTTCCTCTCGTCCTTCCATCTTCGGTCTCTGGCGTGCCTTTTCCATGTGGTGTAGTTGCTGATGCTTCTCTTCCGCAAATACCATCAACGCAAGGTTGAAGAGAGTTTTACTCGGCTATGGTTAGCCATAAAATTCATGCTACTAGAACATTTTTCAGACTTTTGCTTTCTACAGGAGCTTAACATCTTGTCATGACCCTAAGCCAGAAGGGAGAACCCATTTTCTCCTTAATTGGTTTGCCTTATTCCCTGATTCTTCCAAATGACTGTTTTTTACTCAGAAAATTATAGGTATTTTTATTTTTTATTTATTCCTGCCCCAGCCCATTGTCTCTAAAGTTCATAAAGAAAAACACTTTAAAGTTCATAAAGAAAAAATACAAGATTCTAAATCATTTTTTTTTTCCTGATGAGGAGTGTGCCTGACATCACTTCATTTAGTTTATTTTGTTCAGATTATATTTTTATGTTTTTCCAGTTCTATGGAAATCTTTATTATACTGCTACTCATGTTAACAGGGACAAAAGCCATATGGGATTTAGTGGAAGTGTTAATTATAAAAGTATATGTGGACAAAAATACCTATCCCCGTGGTACTCTAAACTCAGTTTTTCTGTCTTTAGCCCTTTGCACATATATTTCCAACCCTTCTCCAAGGGAAGGGAGGAGAGGGATCACGTTTCTTCCGTAGTGAATGTGACATCCATGCTTTTGATGGACTATTTTCAGTTATCCTTGGTAGAAACCCATCTTCTCTGTACTTTTCTCCACTTTCTTTAGATGTCTTTTGCTCTTCAGAGCCTTATGCCACCAACCTATCTATCCCTTAACTCTTGAAATGTACATTTTTCTTGTTCCTGATCCTGCTGAGTTCTTATTTATAATATCTTAAATGAAATATATGTACATAAAAGTATAACAAATAGTAAGGCACTCATATAACAATTATAATGTGGACAAAGTCAACAATTTGCCTTATTTTTATCTAGTCTTCTTTGTGTTGAAGATAGCCCTTTGCATTCTCCCTATTTTATTCCCCTTTATCAGTCCCAGAAGTAGCCAGTATCCTGAGGTTGATACTCATTTTTGCTCTGTGTGATTCTATGATTCGACCACATGGATGTGTAGCCTCCCCAGCACCAAGGGTTATTTGTGCGCTTGGAGTTCCTTTCTCTTGACTCTGCCCTCCTTGTGCAATATCCATCTTTTCTAAGGAACCTTGTTTCTCACTCCTCCGGCCCTTTCATGGACAAGAAAGCAAGGAAAAGCTGAAGGTGCCCTGTCCTTTCCTGCTTTCTTCTTCCTCCTCGCTCCTTTCCTTCAGTTACTTTATACCTTCTTCTTATGTGCCCTGCACCATCAGACTCTTACAGCCTCTTTTTCTCCCTTTGTTCTTGGTGCCCCAGCATTTAATATCTCTGGCTTCTATTTTTGCTCTTGAAGATTAACAAGCTTACTTTTTCTCTGCCCTAATTTGGGAACAGGTAAGATAATGTTACAGAGAACCTGAGAGAGAAATGCAGTTTAATTACTTTCCAGTATAGAAACACTCCTGAGAGAAGGAGGGATGGAGCTGTACATCTTGGAGGCTCTTACCCTTCATAACATCAGATATGAATTACTTATAATTAACATGTTTGTCATTTAAATGTAGAGCTAAAGGCATTTGCCATTAGGTTCATAGTAATCTTTTACAAAATTGACTTAAAATTCTATTTATCATTTTACCTATTGGTAATGTCTCATTTTATGGTCTACCTACAAAAGAGATTTTTATATTTCTTTTCCAAGTATTCATAGCAAAGATACTGCAAACAAAACTTTTCTTTCTTTCACTGAGAATATATTATTTGCCTACTGTGTGCAAGCACATTATACGTGGAGATGGATTGAGATGATACCTTTTCGGGCTGTAACAGATGATTATACCAGATATTCAGGCTTCAAGGAGTTTACACTTTTAGGTGGGAAGACGGATATTTATTCACATACCACTAAGGCAACACCAAGGGTGGGGAGAAGAAGGTAGAGGAGAGACAGTAGTGCCAAGCTTCATGGCCTGTATAGGAAACTGTTTTTTGGGAATCTGACAAACCAGCAAAATCCTTGATTGTGTATTTGTTCAGTGTTTGAAGGAATGAGAGTTTAGGGATGAACTCTGTCTAGTCTGGCCATCACAGATCTTATTCTATCATAGATAACAATTACCGTTCTGTTTCCAATAGATGTTTCCATGTCACACATTCTATTAGCCCTTCCTGACCTTCCAAATCCAAATAAAGCCCAAAGGATCTAAGAGTAAGAATGGGAAGGAATCACCTAAAATCTTTATCAGCTGTGGTCAGAGTGTATCTTTGGCCTAAATACACTCTTATAGGGCACATGCTAAGACTATTCATGGTTTCCTTTCCCAGTCTATGTTCTGGAATATAATTTAGGCCCTTTACCAGTTTCTTTCCATTGGCAAGACCCCATATTTGTTCCTTGGCATGGAACCCAGAATTCTGTACCCATGCCCCCTGCTGTCTTCCTCTGATGATTCAGAGTTACAAATTATGACACACGAATGAAATGCCTACTATGTGTTCACAGAAGAGATGTAAGTATAATTAAAGATGGAATTTTTGTGGCATCTTTTAAATCTGATATTTTCCATTTTATCATGAAGATATTTCTTGGCTCATTTTCTTTCCTTATCATTTACTATTTAGGTACACAAATGACATTTTTCTGTTATATTGTACTGGTAAATACTAGGAATTCACATTTTTCTAGAAAATGAGCCTCTTAGAGCCCAGAACATTAAGACCTACATTTATAAATTAAGGCTTATTTATTTATTTTCCTTTTAAAAAAAACGTACACTTTAAGTTTTATTTAAAAAACAAAATAACCAACCAACCAAACAAAAAAGGCTTCTTCAGAGTAGTTGCCCCTGGAAGATCCCGAGGAGCCTAATAAGAATACTGGGGGCCCGTCTGTTGTAATGGCTTTAGATTGAAGATTTTAGCTGGAAATGAATTTAAAATTGTTCTAAGAATGAAGCTTTCTACGTTTTAGTAAATGTTAACAGTTTGGAGATCTGCAGAGAGACATCTGCCATCCTTTAAATTTTCCAAAGTGACATATGTATTTTATGCTTCAGAAACTAGAAATCGAGGCAATAAGATCAAACCCAGAGATTCTTTCCAAAAGCCACTAGTGTTTAGGAAAGTTTGGTACCGCCTGTGGCACAGCCTGATAACTGTGACATTTGCTATATGTAATTTCCTCACTGAGTAAAAACAAACAAACAGAAACCATGTAAATGCATGAGAGTCAGTGGAGTGTGATGAACAGAAAAAAAAATTCTCAAGAATCAGGAGATAACAAGGTTTATCCACAACTGCCCACAAACTTTGGTTGATAATGACTTTTTGGTCCCTTTTCTTTTTCTGTTTTTCTTTCTTTTTTTTTTTTTAAGATTTTTTATTTATTTATTTGACAGAGAGATTGAGAGAGAGAGAGAGAGAGAGATCACAGAGGGAGATGGAGAAGCCTCCACACCAAGCAGGGAGCCTGATGCGGGGCTCCATCCCAGGACCCTAAGATCATGACCCGAGCCAAAGGCAGACGCTTAACCAACAGAGCCACCCAGGCGTCCCAACTTTTCGTCCCTTTTCTGTCTGATAGCTTCTACCTCAAAACTGGGGTTTATTGCTCTTCTTAGTTCCACTGATTTCTACTGATGTAGTGTCAGTGACGCCTCTGATATGGGCTTCACACTGTCCTGGCTGCGAGATTACACATCTCGTCTTGTTTCATCATCAGCTGACCGAGAGACCCCAGTTCCCCGCTTGAGTCATCTCCTGCAGAGCTCTAGCTCCTGCTCCACTGGGATGAGTTGGTGGTGCCCAGGGCCATCCTGCAGATCGGGGTCCACCCCAGATGGGGGAAATGATAAGAAGTGGGTTGCGCTTTAAAACTTTGATGGAGCTGCTGGTTTTATATTCAGTTATTCTTTCCTCCTTTTATTAAAAAATACGTGTTATCTGGTTGATGAAATAATGGTGACCATAGAAAGCTTTGTCATGGGTCCTGCTTATCAGAGTAAAACAGTTCCAGGTCTTTGTTGGCTCTCTTCCCCCTTTAGATGTTTGTACCTCTAAAAACCTTGCAACACTTGGTTTAAAAAATACTGTCTCAAACAAACCACCTCGGTAGGTACTTATGCCACTTTGAAGAGCCATGCTACGAAAATAGGAAGGGGGAGACGATACTTTGTAGACATTTACTAGATACTTAGCAGTTATTTCAAGTTTATACTTGATGCCGATGCAAACTTGTATGCTGCAGCTTCCCTTTGATTGCCCTCTTCACTGGGTTTTTACCTGTGAATATCTAATACAACTCTCGGCAAGAAATATTTTTCAGGGACATGTTATTCCCCGAAAAGATATCCCTTCACCTTTGCCTGAAAGCCTGGTTCAGGAATCACTTTGATTTGTCATGTGTTGGTCCTTTTCAGCGCTGATAGTGCTTTGCTTTACTTTTTCCTCAGTGATACGAATGAAGTTGACATCCCACCCAACACCCGAGTTGGCACCAAACGCTACATGCCTCCCGAAGTGTTGGATGAGAGCTTAAATAGAAATCACTTTCAGTCTTACATTATGGCCGACATGTACAGTTTTGGACTCATCCTTTGGGAGGTTGCTAGGAGATGTGTATCAGGAGGTAAGTAACAGTGATGCCGTTGCACCTGCTAGAGATCCTTGCTTTCTGATCAGAAATCAGAGTTATCATATTGTCCCCAAATCTGATTTTCTTTTATTTTCCACCTTATTTCTGTCAGTGCAGTCACAATCCTCCCAGGAAATGATATTTAACCTCTTAGAATTCTATTTGACCCCCTCTTTCCTGCTTCTCACCAACAAGCCAGCTTTAGAAAAAAAGTTAGGATTTTAAATGCTTTCCTGCTTCTCACCAACCTGTTGGGGCCCATCCCCAGCTCCAGTGCCCCATCCCCTATGGCTTCTTCTCTGCAGATGAAGGTAGAGACAGAGATGTGGGGTGAGATACCCCTTCTTTACCCCTCCCCCCACTTGACTTTCTATAGTTCTTCTTCATAAAGCAATTTGAAAACATCAGTTTTTATCAAAAGGAAATTAAAGCATAAGGATGTTACTACTGGTCATGATAATTTTTCTGCAAACAAGGATTCCCTAGTAAGATGATATCATAGAAGATGTTATTAAATATTCGGAGGCATTATTATTGTTTGCTGTATTTAGTTTACTGCTGTGTCATCTGCCTTTAAATAGATTCCAACACTTTTTAGGTGAGAAGCTGAATCTTCAGCTCTTCAGTGACAAGTATCCTGCTGACAGTCATACTCATGGCCGGGCTTGGTTAGAAACCATGCTACTGCTGCTGCTGCCTCTCATGGCCAGTTTAAACTCACTTTTGTGAGACCTTGAGCTTGCCGGAGGTTCTGAAAGTCTAGTGAACACTTAACTGGTACTGGAATTCACTCTTGGACCTGCCACTGACAAGTGACTCAGCTTTGTTTCCGTTCTTTCATCTTAAGAAGGAAGTGAATTGAAAAGAATTAAAACTGCCTGGTACATAAATAGCATTCAGTATCTCTTAGCTCTTACTTAATATTTTGTTTTTGGTTGGTAGAGGCTTAACTTATATTTAGATTCATATTTAGGGCCGCCTGGGTGGCTCAGTTAAGTGCATGCCTTCGGTTCAGGTCATGATCCCAGGGTTCTGGGGTTGAGCCCCGCAGAGCCTGCTTTTCCCTCTCCCATGCCCCCTGCTTGTGTTCCCTCTTTCACTGTGTCTCTGTCAAATAAATAAATAAAATCCTAAAAAAAAAAATAGATTCAGACTTAAATAGAGTGGAGAGACGGTTAATCACCAGGCACTTATACTTTGGGAGACAGATTGTGATGTAGTGACACAATGCCTTCTAATCACTTGGGAGCTCTGAGCCTATTCTGAGCTTAATTTAAAATAGAACACATTTCCTCTCAAGTGAGAGAACTCCAAAATGAAAGTTAACATGGGAAATGTTTCCTAACCAGATAGTGAGTAAATCTCCCGTCTTCTCTGAAGAAGGAAAGAGCTAACGAAAATATAAGTTAACTAATTGTCTATGCCTTGCCTCATGTTTTATAGAGAGTAGATGAGCCTATTTTGGAATAACATACTTACACTCAGGATTGGTTTATAGAAGCTGAAGGAGTAGTAGAGTACAAGATTACTTTCTCATTACACTTTCCTGAACATCTAAAGCAAACAGGGCCATAAGAAACCTGTATCTGGAAGCCTCTGGGTCAGAATACAGAAGAAACGATCCTTCGCTTAAAAACAAGCCAGCCTTAGAAAAAAAGTTTGGATTTTAATTGCTTTACTGGGTTTGTCTTTGCCTGTGGAGATTTGAGAGGCACTAAGGTGTTGCCTTATCTCTTTATGAGATTGGTTCGTGTTTGTCACAGCATTTGATTCTCAGCTCGGCACTACACCAGCTGTGTGGCCTTGGACAATTAGTAAGTCCCTCAAAAGCAAGTTTTCTCATCCGGGTAATATGGATAATAATGCTATCTCATAAACATGTGTCAAAGAATTTAGTAAGATAAATTATACAGCATACTTGCTGATACATGGTATAGACCATATTTGCCTGGTAGGCTTCTAACGAGCAGGTTTGTCTCCTCTTTCCAGAAAGGCAAAACACACAAAATTCTATTCTCTAACACTTTCCTTTATGAAGATGTTGGAAGTTATGGGCTTGTCTTTCTAGTCTAGGTACTTTTTGGGTGAAGTAGATTTTGGATGTAGGTCTTCTAAACTTGGGAAGAAAAAGAGAATTCTTGAGGTTTCAGTCACCCTTAAGTGGCAACCCATACGGAAATTTTGATAATTGCATAATAAGGAGAAAGAAGTAAGGCCTGTAGTTCAAAGACAGACTTCGATTAATTCATAAATTCATGTGGTTCACTGTGTCTGTGGTGGTATGTACACTTACCCCACTGTGGGGTATCAGTCCAGCTGGGCACTGGCACCAGTGCTAGGCACTGAGGGAGACATGAGAGGAGTCAGATAGATGGTCTTTGCCCTCAAGAGTTTTCCAGAACCATTGTCCTGAGAATTAGAAAGGGAGGAAGAACTCAAGTGAAGTAAGCATCCCCCATTCGTTAGGCCTTGTGCTTTTAGTATTTCCTGTAGAATTGAAACACAAGAGAAGGAACGATGAACATAGATACGTATAATCATGCTGTGTGGTCTCAGTGAGGGACAGAATAAATGGTAAATGGGAATGGTCTCAGGAAGCATTTGAACCTTCTGGTCCTTTATTGTATGGGTTTGAGTTTGCAGGAAAGGGCATATACTCCAGATTTTGTCCAAGTACACCCCAGCGAGTTTAATGATGAGTTGGATAAAATCTGCCAGCTTGATAGTATCATCTTGTTCCAATAAAAAGCAATGACATTTCTATAATAGATGATTTAGGATAGGGAGGGAAGGTGCTCCAGATACATTGTTCAGAGGGACATCCTTTAAGGACAGAGGCTGCTTATAATTATTGTGGGGAGTTAATCAGATAGGGTTGAAAAGAAGATAAAAGTAGCCTACTTTTCTAAAGGACACAAGTAATAAGATAGAAACTAGATACTAGGAAAAATGAGACGGAATTTGTCACAATAAGGGCCATTTTCCTAAGATGACACAGACTTGAATTCCTTAACCCTTCTTTCAACAATACCGATTTTTTCTGATAGTGATGTATTTTTTTTTTTTTTGTAGAAAGTTTGGTGAAGTACAGAAAATTTAAAGAAGAAAATAATAAAAATCTGACAATCCTTGCACCTAAAAAAAAATCATGGTTAATATTTTTAGGTGTGTATAATTTTTAAAATTTTAAATCTGGAAAAATGCATTCTTATGATTAAGCAGAAAGAAAATGTAAATCTCACATTTTGTTCAAGTAGGATACACTGCCAAATGTATTATGAGATTCATAATCTCATATTGCAGTAATAGAAACAGTCACATATTATGCGGTATGAGTTTGGGGTGTGTCTGCCAAATTCGCGTTGAGATTTAATGTAGATTTTTTTTTAAATTTGGCATAGAAGACCCTTTAAAAAATTGGAAATAAATTTGAGATGCTTGTTTTACTTAGCTTTGGGAAATTTTTAAAAAACACTTGAAAACCTATAATAATATGTTTCATTAGATTTTCTATTTATATTTTTAATTAGATTAAGTGTCATTCGGGCACATTTTTTTTTTCAAGACTTACTTTGCAGTTTTTTGAGCCTGAACGTGTTTTGAGTACTGATAGGACCTTGCTTTGAGAACAGTCTGTATGTTAGACTTTCATTTCCACTTCCCAGAAGATATTAATAGTAGCAATAATTTAAAAACAACCCATATTCTAGGTATAGTGGAAGAATACCAGCTTCCATATCATGATCTCGTGCCCAGCGACCCTTCTTATGAGGACATGCGAGAGATTGTTTGCATCAAAAAGCTCCGTCCCTCGTTCCCCAACCGGTGGAGCAGTGATGAGGTAAGGCTTGAGGTAACCGTATGACCACGACAGACTTCTAAACAGACTTTTTACTCTTTTTGCCAAAATTCCAGATACCTATTGCAGGAATCCTCCCCCTTTGTTTTGATGGTGTTGGTAATGGTTCTTCTCCACAGTCATTGATGTCATACGTTAAATTATCTGTTTCTTTTTGCCAATTTGAGTTTGCTATTTCTAAAGTATATTTGGGGGGGGGAGCTTCCCCTTAGCCTGGACAATAGGTAACACTATTCCATTTACTTAAGCTATCCTGACATTTGCCTAAAGGACGTTATTTCTCTGTGTGCATCTTTCAAGCACCATGAATTTTCTCCATGACACACCAGTGTATACCATTCTCTCATCTTGATGAGAGAAAAGATAGGCATCTGCAGAATCTAGTTTTCTTTACACAGAAGGGACACGAGCTGTGGTTGGGCTGCCTGACTGCGCCATTGGTCTTTGTTAGTAGGGCTGATGTTTGCCCTTTTGAGAAGTCCATATTCAGCCTGGCTCTCAGGATGCAGGGATGAAACCTAACCAGGGCCGAAAAGGGGCTGTTCAGAAGGAGGAAATGATTTGGGTGGGCCTTGCCTTTCCTGTCTCATGTCATCCTCGACATCCTGCCCATCTATCCTCCATACTTGCAAACTCACCAACTCTTGGAGCCCTCTGGCAGGCGGACATCTTCAGAGATGAGTTTGAAGCATCCCCAGGATAAAACACAACCCCCACCCCCAAACCCACCTCACCAAACATGTAGCAAAGCCAACCAGGCACATGGAAAGAGCACTTGTTGATAAGCTAATTCTTTAATGTTCAATGCATTTAAAAATAACCTGTGGTTCATTGGTTTGGTGTCTCGTTCCTAAAATGCTAAATAATGCATCATTTTTCCAGTGAGCTATGCAGAAAACTTTATGAGATGCTGGAGTTATATTATTTTGAAGGTGGTTATGGGCATTGGTATTACTCAGAATCCCCTTACTACAGATTTCTAATGACGTGAAATTGTGCTTTTCCACAGGAAGACCAGTAATTGATGTAGCACAGGAGAACACAGGAGAAAGTTTTAGTGAGGCTGTGCACAGGTCATTAATCTTGTTAAATGGTACAGTGCAATGCTATTATTGGAGCAGACAGCTGTGATTTAGGAATAACCATGTTTGTTTGAATAGTATGGAATTAGATAAAAGATTTAAGCTTATCAAGTGTTATAAACAATGTAGGAGTGTGGAGTGGAATACAGACTCCCTGGGTATTTTTGTATTTGGTTAAGACCAACTTCACAGACACTCTTGTACAATTAGCAAAACCACCTGCTCGCTGCTGTCATAGGGAAGACATGAAAGTCTGTTTTCATTGTTTAGAATTTGCACGAGAAAAGAGTTTTTATGGAATTTTGTCTACATGGTTTTAGGAGTATCTTTGAAAAATATATTTGTACTCCAGAAACCATACACTAAAGGCTACATGTCCGATGGCATCCTTGTAGATAAAACATTTCTCTAGTGTTACTCCTGTTTTCCTTTCCCTCCCCACAGTGTCTAAGGCAGATGGGAAAACTCATGATGGAATGCTGGGCTCACAATCCTGCATCAAGACTGACAGCCCTACGTGTTAAGAAGACACTAGCCAAAATGTCAGAGTCCCAGGACATTAAACTCTGATGTGAGGAGAAGAAATAAGCGTCTCTGGAGAAAGCCAGGAGATATTCTTCTGTTCGTGGGCAGAGCAGAAGATGTTCCAGAAGTATCCACAATACAAGCCTTGAACATCATCCTGCTTCCCAGTGGGTTCAGCCTCACCTCTCAGGGAGCAGCCTGACAAAGAGAAGTTCCCAGAAACACGTTTTCATCGTATCTGTCTGTAGGAGGGAGAAAGTGCTTGGGTAACTCGTTCAAGATACATGATGCATGTTGCTTTCTAAGAAAGCCCCATATTTTGGTATTGCCTTTTTTTTTTTCCCCCAAAAGATGCTTTAATTTTGCCAAAATAGAACAAATCATGTAGAAGTTTTAAGGTTTATACTGTTATAGTTTAATAAATAATAGCAACAAAAGTTCTTCCCGGAAATTCTGCTGGAAGGTAAATTTTAAAATACCTTTTTCCATTAGTGAAAATACCTTTTTCCATTAAAAAGGAAAAAATACCTTTTTCCATTAGTGAAATTTGTTGCACTCTGCACACCAAAAGACAGTCTGTGGAGTTGGAGAACGTAGAACGGAACTCAAGTGAAAATCTCCCCGCTTCTGCCTCCTCAGACTGCTTTGGCCAGCCCTGCCTTCAGGGGCCACCACAGCAATGTGAATGCGCCTGGGCACAAATACCACCTGTGTGGGGCCACGTTTTGGGTTCCTTTGGGTGCCCTTTTGTAGCTTCAGACGACACGGAACAAATGAAGGTTTTCTGTGACTCTGTTAGAAGTAGTAAGTGTTGATGCCGTTCTTCAGAACTACTTTGTGTTTCTGATTCTTTTAAGGCATTTCTGTCATGGTGAAGGCCTTTCCTTTTCATTAAACACAAACAAAGGTGTTTTTTATGTGCAGAGAATTGACTCATGCCTGGTTTTGATCTCTCAAATGAAAGGATCAATATTAAATAAAATCGCAGTCAGCTGGGTTAAAAACAAGGCTCTTTAAAATAGAGATACTTTGCTCCTGTGTTGCAAGAAAGATGTGTCAGTAGGACAGAGGATGAGGGTGGGGGTACAAATGGCCTGTTTCTTGGATATGCAGAAGAGCCTGTCTCACAACCACAAGGGGAAAGGACGCACACCTTATTTTGTATAGACAAAGACAGTTTCTTTTGTGTCTGAGTGAAGGGAAGGAGAGGAAAGCATGTTGGGTTAATTTAACTAAATTTTAATTTAAAAAATATAAATATAACCTCCAGATGGGACAGCAGAAAGAACTAGTAGAGGCCACAAAATATGGTAGCTGCTGTGACTTGTTTTTCCAAAATAGATACGGATCAAGCACATACATCTTACATGGTAAGTTCACGTCTTAGAGGAGTGCTGACTTGGTTTATTTTATTCTTGTGATGTTCAGTTCACTTTTTATTTATATATTTTTTCTTCTCTGTGGCGCTTGTGCAAAACATCTCCTCACCTCCTCAATTCTGTGGGGTTTTAAACTTTGGAGGATTGTGAGGCAAATCATTGACAGGGCCAATATTCCTTAGCAACAGGAACATAAAGCTCAGAATTATGAGCATTCCTCTCAACTGTGTTCATTTACATTTCCTTACTTTTCTTTGGTTTTCTTTTGTTTCTTCGAAAATCCTGCAGCGTTCAGTGAAGAATTGGGAAGTGCTTCTCCTTGGTCTTTTAAAAAAGGACGTTCCTTCCAGATACTCTAGGGGGCACTGTTTTATAACACATTTTCACCACTTGGTGCCTGAAGGTTGGAGGGTTTTTGAACATTTGACAGCTGCAAGAAAAATGAGAAGATATGCCCCTCACTGCTGAAGGAGGCTTGCAGCTGGTGACTTGTTCATCCCGAAAACCTCTTAGAGCACAGAGTGGTTGTGAGGCCCGCGTAAGTTTTGGGAGAACACAAGGAGAACTGGTGTTCTACGTTCTAAGCATTCACTTCCCAGTGCCTCGTAGCTGCATTTTGTTTGTAACAAAGAAAGATTTTCTTAACCCTTGAATAGGAACAAAATTTCTTGTTCTTAAAGATCACAAACAGTTGTTTCCAAATATAATTGTAATCAGAATGCTGCTTGTAGTAATATTAAAATCACCTGAATAGCAGTGTAAACAAAGGTTCCTTTCCCTTGCATCAAATTGTATTCTTTCTGATAGCTTAGAAGGAATATGTGTCTAGAACTATGCGTGATAATCACCTGAGCCGTGGAGAGAAGCTTCAGTGCTTCTAATCTGATAATCTACAAACACATGAGTAAACATGGATGCCAGTTAAGTGGGGACGCGTTTGTGTTTCTTGGTTTTCTCCAAATTTAAGCGAGGTTGGGCTTGCTTACATCTTCGATTAAAAATTCTTGTTTTTTTTGGCAAATTTTTATACATAGATAACTTCATATCAAAATATTTTGTGGAGAGGTGATGATTTAAAAGTAAACTAGATTTTTAGAGAGGTGTTAGTTCCAATGAAGAAAGGAAAGAAATCAAAACAGCATCCAGATTTCTTCTAGATTATTTGTTGTTTTGGAAAAATCTATAGCTTACTTTCTAACTCTCAAACTGATTTACTCACTATGAACATTTAAAAATTATTCTCAAGATATTTAAAAAGGTCCCTTTAGTTATTAGTCTTTCGATGAGATAGGAATTTATTTATGAGTAGATTTTTCTTTGTCTCACCCAAATCTGCCTTGCTTAAGGAATACTGAATTGTTCTCACAGAGACTACCTACTCACTTCCAAACAATCCTTTTTGGTTTTTAAATTTTTAGTAGCTTAGAAGTGAATTTTAGTTTTTTGTTTTGTCTTTCAATAGAATAAGGGGGAACCTGGAAATTATTGTAGTCAATTGTTTCCTTTCAGGACTCTTTCAAAGTCTAAAATTTTTCTCCTAATCACTCCCTTCCCTTCAAGGGAATTCTAAAATATTAGTTGTTAGCTGATATAAGTTTTATAGGCTAAGATGTTCAGGTTTATAGTTTATGTATGTGTGTACATATTATATAAATATATATGTATATATATAAGTATTATGTTCAGCTTGGAGTCTGGCACAACTCCATTATGTGGATTAGAGAGTAAAATATTATAGATGATAAAGTACTAAATGAAACATAGTATTTATTTATGAAAGTGTGTAGTTGGTCCAGTCACAAGTGACAGTGCTATGAACACTGTGTATGAGGAGACAGGCCCTTGGCTCCTGGACAGCACCACTCCGAAGTCACTCGTGACCATTCTTTTTATTCTTTAAACATAAAGCTTCTTAGAAAACATGTCACGATTTGATTTACAAGAAATCCTTTGACACATTTCAATTGTGTAGTCAGGTATAGGAAATACTGAATAATGACAGAATTTCATGTTCCTCAGAGTCATGCATATTCATGAGAAGTTACGGTGGTTTACACTGTTGGTCTGTTCTGGTTCTTCTTTGCTGGTGAGCAGAAAGGCACTGGAAGAAGCCGAAATTTTTAAATTTGAATAGTTCTGCAGTTACATCTCTTTAGAAAACCCAGTCACATAGCAGTGGAAATGAAAGAAGTGGTATCAGAAGTGATTTAATTTAGCAATTATGATTCCTCTTGTAAAACAAAACAAACCACAATGCCATATTTTTTGGAGAGAAGTTGGCACTATATAAGGGGTTTTGTTGTCTGTCTGTTTCAAAAGAAGATTCCTTTGTGTTCTTTTGGGGAACCAGTGCCTTACTGAATTTGTATATACTGTAATTATTCAGGACTAGGGAACAAACAATTGTATTTGTTACAAATTGTATATGGCTTTGTTTTAACATTCCCCGAAATAAAATGGTTTCTTTCTCCCCTTGGAAAGAACATGTCTGTTATCTTACAGTTGTGCCTTTTTTTCTGTCTTCAAAAACATCGCACGTCGAACAGGCATGTATAAAAGAGAGCCATGCAGGTAAGTTTGTATGTTTGGTGGTGGGAGAGCAAGGCAATGGTCTGATGGCTTCTAGCCTTTCTGTAATTAGGAGCCACAGTCATCTGTTGTTAGAGGAAAGATAGGGTAGTGAGTGGGCCGGGAGAAGTGAAACAGTTTAAATTGCACTGTGGAAAATGGCAGGTGGGGGTTATGGGCAGCACTGAGGGTCTGGTTTGCTGAGAAGACCAACTGTGAGAACGGGGGTGGGGGTGGGAGGGTTGCAGTCTGTGAGGGGAGAGAGTATAGACGGGCCGGTGGGGCCTGAGGGGCCGAAGCCCACAGCAGTGGGTGCCACAGAAGGGCAGTGGTCTGGAAGCAGCAAAACAGTAGGAGAAAGTTCCCAGCTTTACTCCCAACTGTGACATCTGTGGGGTATGGAGGACTGAGACCACTCTTGTTGCCCAGCAAACAGTGTCCCCTTGGACAAGAGAAAGCCCTCTGCAAAGGGAGGAGGAAAGTGTTAGGTGATACTAGGTGATGGTTCCTGAATCTTGGAAGGCAGCGTAGAAAGTTAAGGTTTGAGGAGCTCTGTGGGAGACGGGATCAGGAGAGATGAAACCCGACTTGTCTGGGCACGGAGGGCATATAAGAAGGCTTGCATCTTGGTTACTGGGACTTGGGAGTTCTCATGAGAATTGGCTGTGTTTAGCCGGTTGCGCTGATGCCAAGAGAATTCATCCCAGCGCTGGGATTCTGATCAACTTGGCTCACGTTCCAGGGTTTTCACTTTCTCACTTCTGTGCAAGTACACAGTCTGAGCGCCATTTTCTCCCCTGTACGTGGGCTAAAAATACCCGTCTCAAAGGGCTCTTCGGAGGAACAAATGAGATGAATATGTGAAGGAGGGGAAGGCCCCACTCCAGGTACCTAGCGGGTGCTCGTAAATATTGCTTCTCCTTACTGATGTTAGCTCCACAGGATACAGAGCTGGCGACATTCAAAAGAAGTCGCAGTTCGCTGTGGGTACACTCTTCCAACTCCTCTGTGTCCTGCGTTCCTGGGCTTACCTTTCCTTTCCTACCCAGTAGTGCAGTTGCTTGTACATGTCATTTAAAATCAGATCTCTCAGGGTGGGACCTTGTATTCCTTGGTTCCCCGGGGCCTTCTGGTGCTGCGCCTCTAAGACTCTGGGTCTCCCTATTAACTGCTTGTCACTCTCCCCTGGGGCATTAACCACTCTTAATAACCACCCCACCCCCCGGATCTGTAATGTCAGGATCTCTGGGGTTGGGAGTCAGCTTTTCTAAAGCTTCTCAGGTGATTCCAATGTGCAGAGAGGCTTGAGAAGCCCCGATTCCAGAACCCCATCCTGTCCCCGAGGGAGGCTGCGATTACCATCCTTGCAGAGTCTAAGAGCTTCTCTGTGCTAATGAAGAGACACAGGATGACTCTTGACACAGAGGAGTGCTT